TAATGCACCAAAAGTTGTTTGCCAACCGCCATAAAACACAAGAAGAAGAAGACGAAGAAGGAGGGAATCAAGCAAATCAAAATGGCGGCGCCCGTCACATTCAGAAAGTTATGCTTGATTATTATTGCTGTAGTTCGGTGTTATTATTTAAAATGCCATTATTTAAAATGTTGCGTGGAGAAGATTTCAATGTTTATAGTTGAAGAAGAAGTTCTTCTTCTTCCGTTTCCGGAGGGGCATTACCGCCAACTACTGGAATGGAGTTTCAATCGCGATGTGCAGCCAGACGGAGATGACGCATTCTGCTCATGCGCTCTTGTTATCAGAGAACCAAGCCGAGCCCACCTCTGGAACTGGTCTGTAGTTAGCTCGGTTCGGTTGTGTCTAGATCGGTTCAGTTCAGTTTGCTTTCCATTTACACACGACAAGTTATCTCAGTTACTGAGCTCGGACCGGTCTCAGCACGGTTTTTCAAGGGTAGTGTAAATGGGGTATTTTTTACCCCTTTTTTTTACCCCATTTTTACCCCATTAACGGACCGTGTAAACGGTCATCAGAACCGAGCTCGGCCTGGTTAACTGATCCGAGCTCGGACCGATCTCTGCATGGATCGGTTTTTCAAGGGTAGTATAAATGGGGTAATAGTGTTTTCAGAAAGTTTCTTCACTTTTATTTTGGTTATATCTGGAACAGATCGGTCCATGAAAATATTGTGTAACATTAAAACACAAAAAGGTTGAGGGCCACTGCCTTAGACGCCATTGTTTAAAAGCATAAGGTATATTAAATTCCAATTTGCGAGCGAAATTTATTTTGGTTAACCCTTGTGAACTTAAAACAGGAAAAGTTCATGACACATCCTTGCAGTGTTCACTGTTTATAAATGTAAATATCTGCTTTCATTGTGCATATTTACAGTTCCAGTCTCTGTGTTTAAGGAAAGACGTCTCCATGCTGCTGCTGTCTCAATAAGGTGTGAGCAATGTTGGGTCATTGAAGCACAGCACGCTTCAGGACGTCCCTCTGGCCTCATCACGTCTCACAAAGCTTCATCTCCGTTCCTCTCTGCTTTTCTTTGATGCAAACCAGAACACTAATCTAATGTGAAATCATTAGCGTTCACTAACACACTACCCTGATGCCTTTCATTACCTCCATAATCACTCACACAGCTCAACAGAACATGCTGCGAGAGAAAGACGCCTTTTTGAACTCTGGATGATACCAGAGCTGATAAATAGACTGAGGTGCTTGACTGGATAATGCAGCCCTTGTTCTCTGGCTTTAGCTGCTCAGGTCAAGCTCTGCGGTAGAAGGCTGGGCTTTTTAAACATATATGTTTATGTTTCTGTGTGTATGTGGTTTATGAAGACGCTTTAGCTCCTGCTTCTATCACGATATTACTCGTTGACTTTTGGACCAACGCAGCATGTTCCTGGAAAAATATGCTTTCCTTATATCCTGACCCTGCCAGTAAGGAAACGCTGCCAATTTCAGCAATCGCTGCTGGTAGAGTTCAGTCCAAAGCTTGTTTTTTTACACCAGAGCAGACACTGAATGGCGATATCGAGGCATAGAAGGAACTTAGGGAGTTATGGGACTGAAACAAATGCTTCTGCACTACAAATATCAGAGAATGACAGCCAGAGGGAAGAAAAAAATGACATTTCTAGGTCATCAAAAAAGGACAAAAAGCTATCAAAACCAACCTGGACTTTTGGGAAAAAGCTAAGCACTTTAAATTCCCTTGCCACACTAAGTCGTGATTACTGGCAAGCCTAATGAAGCAAGAAATCCCAAAGATAAAGCCTGTCTAACATGTAATCGGCTGAAAGAGCTGAAAAAGCAGTATTCTATACCGCAGTATAAAATTCAAGAAAGTTTGATGACATCTAAAGCCTCTTACCCACTGAAAATACCAGGTTAACCCGGGTTTTTCACCTTTCACCTTTCCCACTGGCATAAAAAGCTGGTCTGACCCCTCGCTGGCAGCTGCGTGGCCTCGGTCCTCCTGCAGCCATGTCTGCTGACATCATATCGCTGGGTTAGTTTTGATGATGTCACCGGTGCGACAGAAATCAGGAAAGTAAACAATGGAGAGCAACATGTGTGGAAGTCAGGGGGTAGTCAGCGTGCTTTATTGGTTCGCTCTTTTGGCCCTCTGAACCCCTCCCACCAGTGATGCTCCATTTTTATCAAACGTAAACAGAGTTACACGCAGCGGTGGGGGGAAAGAGGCCACGCAGCTGCCAGTGACGTGTTAAGCCTGGTTTATGCTCAGAAACCAGGTCGTCTGAGTATGTGTGTCATAGTCAACGCAGATAGGCCTCCCCCCTTCCACAGGCACTTTGGTGCACCTCTCCAAAACTCCTGTTTGGTACCTAATGGCAGAAACTCTGATTATAGTGCCCTCCACAGCGCCTGGCACACCTGGGACACTATCCCAGACACCATACAGGACGCTAATCTGTAGCTCTGTGCGACGGTCTGTTGGTTTGCACCCGAAGCCAAAATACTCAGCGTCACGGTTGGTCTTTCGGGACACTAGCAGGTGAACTTTATGTCAACGGCGAACAAGCTCATGAAACCGCCACACAGACACCCAAAATCCTAGCTAGTTCGTGATTGCCCCTCTTGCATTGTGGTGTGGAATAACATAGCGCAGACCAGCTTCAAAATTGGGCATAAATCAAAAATATCTGCGTCATACCTGCGACAAGCTCACTGCGACACACTGCTGCGGGAGGATAACCAGCCCTTTAGGCCCAGCTTTTTTTGCCAGTGAGAAGGGACGAAAATGTCGGTCGTCCCATGTTTGAAAAACATGCGTTTACCTGGTATTATCAGTGGGAAAGAGGCTCTACAGGACACCACAAGGTCAACCCCTAAATGCTTTTATGAAAATAAAGTAAAGGTTTCTGGCCTAGTCAAAGTCTGGGATTAAATCTGAGGTGTAGTGCTGTGACCCCAAACAATAAGCTACTACTTACAAAAACCTTCTTGGTGGCGGAAACAAAACAATACTGCAAAGAAGAGCTCGCCAAAATCCCCACAGCGGTGAAAAAAAAAATCTATATCGGTAAAACCTAAACAGGGAAGGGAAGATTTTATTCTTAATAAATGCCATCGCTATTAAAAAGCTGCTTTTTGTTTAAACCAGTAATCTTTGATGCTGAAAAGTGTTGATAAAAGTTCATATAAGGTTTGGATTTAAAAAAAAAAATCCCCAACTGAATAATTAGTCAGTAGAGACTTGCTTTAGTAAGTTTAGTGTATAGAAAAAGAAAGAACAAAAAAAGATAAAACAGGCCAAATAATTCAAAAGTCTGTCTTTGCTCTGACAGCTTAGAGGAGATTTCCATGGAGAAAGGTAATTAAATGCCGTTTCTCTTCTTCCTTTCACAGTAAAAAAGCCTGAAGCTGCAACCCTCGCCTCCATGATGCCCTACATAGTCTGCTGTAGCGCAGAGGTAGCCAATTAGCCTAAAGTGAGTAAAATGACAATGTGCTGCTGAATAAAATTAGATGTGTCATTTATCACAATGTGCTACACTCGTCAATTACAGCCAATAAATGTGCTCCTGCAGAGTCCTGCTGGTTTCTGTCCATTTAGGAAGACAGCTCAGGGTAATAAAAAGCTTTTCAAATGTCAGGAGCTCATTTTGCTTTCATGTGGGAGGAGCCGACTGAAAAACAAAAGACTAAGAGGTTGGAAACAGGCAGGACTAAAAGCAGAGGACAGGTTGAAAGAGACACACCGGATGTGAGAGAGGTATAACTGCATAATCTGAAAAAGAGAACAGGAAGCTGGGCAGATGAGGAGGTGATGTGCAACCAGTGAATAAAGGAAGCACACACACACACATTTATGTAATAAACGTTTAAATGATTATGAATGCATTTAAGCATTACTGTAACAAAGGTGGTTTTAGGTCATAGCATTTAAGTCTCCTCTGTTAAAATGTGGTGATGTTGTGCTTTACATATCCGGCAAGAACAAACAGCTTCTTTTATTGGATGTGTGTTAGGTAAACACGCAGGGAGGAGTCTAATACTGTCAACTACTTAGATATTGACATATTTAAGAGAGTTATAAACAACTTTTTATTTCTATGTCGAGCAAAATGAATAAACCAACATAAATAATGACATTACAAGACGAGTGTAAAATACAACTTTCAATTAGGGTTGTCAAAAGTATCGATGCTCCAAGAAGCATCAGTACTGTAAGTAGTATCGATACTCTTAGAAATATCGATGCTCTAAGACCATCGTCAGTGCCGCAGACAGGAGGCCTCTGATTGGTCAAATCTACATCCACTTTACACTATGCGTATTTCCTGTTTGGTACTTTACCCGCTTGTTTTGTTTTTATGACCACCATTGTGGAAAATGACTCGTGAAGATGGACCAGCTAGAAGAGCGAGATGCTCAAGAACGCTGGGACCCTTTTCCCACCTGGATCCCCGCTCTTTTTGGCCCTCATGTCCCTCCGTTGTCGCACAACCTTGCCCCCACTTCCTCCTCTCCTCGGCCGTATCTAGACCCACAGCTAGTTCATGATTGTTCCTCTGTCGTTGTGGCGTGGAATAATATAGCGCAGACCACGCTTCAATGTGGAGCATAAATCCAAAATGTCTGCATCATACCTGCGACATGCTCACTGCGACACACTGCTGATAAGCAGCCCTTTAGGGGTTCAGGCTGAAGTATAACTGGCCTGCATAAGATAATAAAAAACCCCACAGATTTTAAGACAGGGTTTTTTTAAAAAAAGTAAAAATTATCTTAACTTTGGGACAATATGGTCTGATAAAGAGTTAATTTATATACATTTTAAAGCCAGAATAATTTGACATTTAAATATGACTTCCTAACAACTTGGTTTCGTTGTGAAATCCCAGCTTGCTTTTAAGCCCCCATCTTGTTTCCCTTCACTAAACTTTCTAGAGACGCCCCTGATGAGAAGTAGGAAAATATGAAATAAAAACAGCACATACCACTGGTAGCGGCTCCCAGCTGAAGGAGCAGAAGAACAGAAAGAGTCATCCAGAGTTTGGCCTCCATCATCATCAGAAGGACAGCGGCCGTAAAGTATCGTTTCCTGTTAAATGTCAGGACTTCCTCCTCTGCCTGCTTGGCGGTGCGATGGGAAGCTTTCTGTTGGTAAATGATATCAGAGTTATTTATCCATGTGCGGAGGGCTGGGCTGCGTGTTGTCAGCAGCAGCAGAGGCTTCAGTGGACAGGAGGAAGTGAGGAGGATCTAAGCTGCCGCTCGCAGCGCGCGCTCTGCCCAGCAGCAGTGCCACGTGTTCCCTGTTAGAGTCTGCTGCTGGTTGGAGGAGCGATCACTCCTGCTGATCGATGGTTTCACAAAGTTTAACAACTTTTTATCATAACAGAGCCTCTTCTCCAGTAGCATAACTTATTTCCAGCTCTCTCTCTTAATTTTTATTTTCTACTGGTCCGATTCAGCGGTGACATTTAAAAAAATAAACAAACTATTGTGACTTACACTTTTACTTATCATTTATAGAAATATTTAAGATAACTCATCTTTTAGTTTTAAATCAATATTCAGATGTATTCTGTGCTCAGGTTCTATTTTTTCTTGTGTTTATCTTTCTTAGAAATAACTGGTTTATTTCTACCAACTATAATGGTAAAATCTTTCTTTTCGTGGGGTTTTCCCACAGAGGATGCGATGGGTAATAAAGAAACCAAAATGTATTACTCCATCAGTGGTTAAATAAAAATGTGAAGGCAAGAAACGCTTATTTTCATTTCCTTTCTAAACATCTGAAAAATGTTTTCCCCAGAGAGATGCTTGGTTTTTTTAAGTGGAAGTTCCCACAATAGGCAGCCACACTGGACTGTTATAAGACTGAGTTTAATAAAATGTTCCCATCTTTGCTGTTTCTACACTTCAATCATATGTTTACATTAACTATTAAAACTCACATATTACCCCCTTTTTTGGTAGTATACCTCGGCATTTCCAGAAGTTTTTGCAAAGAAGGGGGGGGTCAAACTGGTTCCAGAAAGGGCCATGTAGCTGCAGGTTTTCTTTCCAACCAAGCAGTATCACAGCAGACTCCAGTCAGCTAATTAAATGAGTCCAGTCTGAACATGAGGACTTGATGGTTGGCCCTTTGGCACCCTAGTTTGACATGGCATATATGATAAAAGAAAACAACTGAAAAATGTTTTATGTTAGATATTTAATCAGAAATCAGAATCAGAAACACTTTAATAATCCCAGAGAGAAACTACTTTAAAGGCATAACAATAAGAATGTTTTGGGGTGATTTTGGAAGAAGGGGTGTCATTGTTTTTTGGCATCAGACAGGTTAATAGCTAATTGACATCATGGTTGAAAGAGTTATGGACCTCCAAAAGTCTGGTTTCTCTTCAGGTGAAGTTTTCAGGAGCCTGAACGCCTCACGGGCAGGTAAAGATTTCTGAACCACTGAATCTATCTGGCGACATCTGCTGGCCATTTTTCACCATTACATTTACATACAACTACGTAAAATGTCACGAAACTGGCTTCGTTATGTGTATCTTACCGTTTTTCTCCTTTAAATACATTAACAGAATAATTCTTTTACCATTTGTTTGTACCATCATTCAATACTGCAAGTAATAAATATATGCTTTGGAAGTGTTACTTAGAATACAAAAGTATGGAGAAATACACCAGATGCGACAAAATAATGAGTTATGTCAATAGTTGAGCTGTAAAATTGAGGGAATAGTTTCCTATGATTTAATCTTCAATCTGTTTTAATGTTTCCTTTTCTCCAGCCTTACATTTTCATCTTCTACAGAAGCAACTTCTACATGAAGATTTCTGCCGGCAAGGTTCTAAAGATTATAGGCGCTTAAAACTTTCGAATTACTCTTTTTTTTTCTTTGATTGAGCGTTCATTTAACTGAAATCCTTTATTATTATTTATATTTTTTATCCATCCAGTACCTGTAGTACACACTTCATAGCAGAAGGGGGCGCTACAATTTTAAGGGGAAGAAAGTAACCTTACAGAGTGCCGTAGTGCGTCAGCAGAAAGGAATTATGGGTATTGTTGTTCGTTAGTTAATCGAAGTAATTTAATAGGGAGGAAAATAATGATAAATATGAAGGACGTGGAGAAAAAAAAATATAGAACACGTACTGATGAACTGTAAAACTTATGAACATGAAAGTGAGAAGTTGAAAAGAATGGTTGGAAGGACAGGCAAAGAATGGAGTCTTAAAGAAATATTGCGAAATGCTGATGAAGATTCTCAGTCATCCAAGTCATTTGAATTGAGAAAGCTTCCTGGAGAGGTGGCGAAACGTCTTCAAATCTTCGAAACCAAGTCCAGTGGATAGTTTTTGAATGCTATAAATGCTTTTTGCAGATTAAGGAAAGCATTTTTTTTATTTATCTTCAGAATACAAAATAAAAAATAGAATTTGATAGACGTAAAGTAATGTTGCTACACACTCATGTACAGTAGGTGGCGGTATGCACCTTAGGAGGAAGCTAGTCGAAGTAAAAAAGGCAGATAAAAAGCCTCTTGGTATTGACACATCGCTATTTATTTTATTTTTTTTTTTTAATTTTTTGCTTTTTTTCTAATTGTATATGATTTTACTCATTGTGTTGCAAAAAAAAAATAAAGCGGAAACGAGGCTGTTTCTCAGTGTGTCTCGCAAAGAACACAAAATCCCAGAATTCCAAGCGGGTCGTAACCAAAGCAACAATGGCGGCTCCCTCTGTTAGTGTGCAGGGTGTTATAGAGCCATTAAACAGCTGTTTAACTAAACTAGGCTTTGAGGTTTACCCTCTAAAGGTAGGACAGCGTTGTTAAAAGTCCTAAATATTGAATCGGTTTCTGAGATAAATATAAATGTTTGTCTTTCTCATTATTATTGATTGTTTAACATGTTCAGCTTGTATTTATTGTACCTTTGTGGCTCTGTGTGTACAGGTTGGCTGGTATAACTCTGTGCTGTCTCCTTCCTTCCACCTCCCTTACCATGATGAGACCCTGGCTGTGGTGGTGCTCAGCACTCCTGCCATGTTTGATCAGGCCTTCCTGCCCTTCTTGGAGCAGAGGGGCGTTCAAAGGCCCAGTGACCCCATAGATCAATGTGTGCAGCACTGTGTCTCCACTGCTGTTCAACGAGTAAGAGAAGAAGTAAGCAACCCTGGCAAAGATTTTGTAGAGGCAATGATGCATTTTTTTGTCTTGTCTCTAAGGGTAGGGTGCATTTGTTAGAGGTATGTATGGGCATGTGTGGGTGGAGATGTAAGTGGGTGTTGGCATGTGTCTGGAGCTGAATGATTGTCTAATAAATATCACCTGGATCTATTCTGGGGTTGTTTTGTTTGTTTGATTCAGAGAGAGGCTAAGGCTGGGTGCCAATATTTCTGTTGACTGCAAGTTTAAAGCTAAATAAGTCTGCAAGTCTCCCTATTGTACAATGCTTCACAGAAAAAAAAGGGTAAAATAAACATCCCTAACTGCAGTAAAGCTTTACGTTTCCTCCTTGGATTCAGCGTGTTGAACAGATCCCTGCTCTCCTCTCTGTGACTAATTTTTGGATGATAGT